TATTAAACTACTAAATTTTAAAATGAAATAGATTCTACCAACCTTGGTGGGGTCCTTCCCAGAAAATGCACCACCTCCGTGGGCACCCCATCCTCCATAGGTGTCAACGATAATCTTGCGTCCAGTGAGTCCTGCATCTCCCATGGGTCCACCAATAACGAAGGCACCACACGGATTCAGATGGAAGACAGTCCTGTCATCGAGGAAATGAGCGGGAATAACAGCTCGAATAACCTTTAAAGGGCAACTGTAATCGTAATGTAATGAGCCCAACATAAAAACCAAACTTTCGCAATCATTAACTGATACACTACCTTTTCAAGAATTTCCTTCCTAAGCTGCTCTAGAGAGATATCCGGAGAGTGCTGGGTGGACAACACAACAGTGTGGACGCGAATAGGAACACACGCACCACCGTCGAATTTGTACTCGATTGTTACCTTCAAAAGACCTTTCATAAAATAGTTTACAAAGCAGCAGGTGGACCGGCCGTCTTTCGCGGCGCGCTCCTCGCGAAACACTGCAACTGCTAGCTCAACCACATTCAGTAATAGCAGTTCTGCAGCGTTCAGACTTTGTGATGACTCGCTGTAACGCATTGTACGCGCGAACAAGCGCCACAGCCACTACAGCGTCCCAAAGCTACAGACGCGAACGCAGCTGCAGACGCTTGGTGCCTATCAATACCAATATGCGTGACTAAGCAACACTTCCTATCCTATTCCCTCATACTCTCTCGAAGAACAAGCGCCTGTCGATTGAGCGTTCGCAGACGGTGATCTATCGGCCGACCGTCTGCGGCTCCACTTGCATCTCATAGCTTTTGAGCGTTGTTGCAATTGTAGAGCGACAAAGCGCGTCATCGCGAAGTCTGAACGCTGTTTTACATCGCTCGTCGACTAGCGGCGGAGTGTGATCGGAAAACCACCGCTCGAGTCGCGAAGGATGACTATGCACCTATGCGTGAGGGTAAGAAATAATCTTTTTGCTTACCTGAGACTTCGAATCAGGACGAACCCATGGGAGCTCACCACTTCGACGCATTGCATGAAGCTTTTCGTTCAACTGATGCGCTAGCTGAAGGGTCAATGGCATAGCTTCTTCCGTCTCATCGGTGGCGTAACCAAACATAATACCCTAGAAGCCGAACGTTTAAGACATCAAAACTCTCGTTCTATTCTCCAGCTTCTCTCTTGCTGTAACCTCGGCATCGTTGTTAAATTCGTTAGTATTGCTATGCCTCTTGAGGTTTTTAGGTGGAATCTTTATTCAACGGCCTAACGTCTTCTTCCTCAGGCCTAAACGTGTTTCGAGTTAAGGAGATGAACACTACCCCGTCAAGCGCCCAACCAACCCTAGCAGTTCCGATGACGTGTTCGGAACTCTACAAGGAAATTCTACACAATACGAAATGTGCACTCACCAGAACTCCACCGTGAATCCGCCGTCACATGCGGATGTTAGTCAGTAGCAAACGAGACTTACTCTAGAACTGAAATGAACTTTCGCTTTTTAAACCGTCTGGGACTTATAGTAGTCGGTGATACGTGCGTTTTTTCCGCTAGATGTTCGAATCAACGAACATCCTCACTGGTATGAGGCGCAGTAGGTCCACGACAGCGCTGGGCAGGCATAGAACTGAGGAGCACAACGGCAACAACTTCGAAATTAAGTGCACAATATTGGCGCAGGAGACGGAAATCTCGGCAAGAAAGGCGCTGGAGGCGTTCTGGATTTCCGGCAGAAATCCTAGGATGAACAACCGAGATGAGCGTCCGTCAATAACCAATGAACATATAAGGAGACGCTAGAGTAAGTCTCATTTGCTACTGACTAACATCTGCATATGACGACGGA